TTGAAATCTATTTGTTCACAGGAAAAAAAAAAACCACATATAAATAAGAGAGAAGAAACTGTACATGGGTCATTGAGTTGCCATCCTCTTTAGTTGGCAGATTGGACATCCCAGAATAAACTTTTTGAATATATACCTACAGATTGGTTAAGTGGTGGGGTCTAAATAATAATGATCTGAGTGAAAATGCACTCAAATTGCTTCCCACAACATCAACATGAGGTATTATTACTACAAGCACAAGCATCAAGTACTGCAGAGGCCAACACTGCCCTAAGATGCCAAGTTCTATGGTTTAAAGACTTAGAAAACACCTATGATCTCACATGAATAGTGGTATGATGTGCTGTTTCACTTGAGGGGCTCATGACTCTGGATTCGGGTTTATTCCAATATATTTTTTTAGATTCAATTGAAAGACTATTTATCACAAATTCAAGTAAAATTTATTATGCATGTGTGAATTTCTCATTAATAAATCGCAAGTGATCTTATATTATATTTAACGTGATTATGAAAAAAATATATTAGAGAAAATCTCGGATTAGTGGTTGCTGACAATAGAGCAAATCTTTTGCCATCACCATTTTGATCCGAAAGCTGGAATATGACCTTCTAACTTTCATTTTTTTCCTTTAATTTTGATATATACCCTTCCACTTACAACATTCCAATAAATTTTAATCCTTTTAATAATTTTGTAAGACTGTACTCAACGATGCATCGACTTTTGTTTTACAAAATTGACCTAAAACAAATACACTAAAGAGATTGATTGTTGGACTCAAATCTTCGTCGTATTATTTGGACATACTAAAGTACTAAATCTGTTTCTACGTCCCTGGGGGCATTTTGAGTTGGCTTCTGAGCTTTATCATTACGCATGAGGCTAAAAGTAACAATAACAAACCGAGTGTGGGGGTGGTGGAAAGAAGACATATAGGCTAGTATGACAGTGGAAGAGACAATTACAGACCCACCCCACCGGCTTAGCGATGATTCCTATGTAATTGACTTCGGTTGCACTTGGCTTCTAACCATGTAAAGAAAGACATGTGCCAAACATTCAACACCAACATCCTATGTGAGTTGACACATACCAAGAAAGGCTACAAAGTATATGCTATTAACTAGATTCTTTCTTGGTGCGGTGGGTATGGGCTGAATTTCTCGCATCCACCTTAAAGATTTGTGTCTTGAAATTTGTATTTAAGTTTGTTGGTTGAAAATGACGAATGTAGTTAGAGACCTCATAATTTTACCACTAAAGACCTATTAGAATGGTCTCTAAACACTCTCATTTACCCAACCAATTTTTTGCACAACGACAAAAAAAAAAAAAATGGATTCTTTCTCATGACTTCACAGGCCATTGTGATTAAGTTATTTTTAAAAAATTTGATTTAATGTGGCAGGACTTTAGGTGGCTCAGCAGCCCTCAGAGTGACACGTGTAAAATTGTAGCCGTTAAAGGAGCTCTAAGGACGCCGAGCAGGGGAGCTGAGAGATGACGGCTCAGAGGAGCTGTTGTCCGAATTTGATATTGATAATTTATGTGCAAGTATACACAATCAAAAAGTTATTGTCCGAATTTGATATTGACAATTTACGTGCAAGTATACACGATCAACAAGTAATAAAGTGATAAGTAGAGTATCATTCTCATGGAGAAATATTGCTAATAACTTTCAAGTACTAACTTTATATCAATTCAATTTTATTTAAACAATTAGAATTGAACTATGAAATGACTAATTTGAAACTAAATCTAAATTTAATAATCAATAGTTGAATTTATCGGATAAAAGAAGTTAAAATTACAACTTCCCCTAATGTTTAGTATAAATCTTCCCACTCTCTTTCTAGTCAATTAATCAAAATAAGTTGTTAACTGAGAACTATAAATTGTTAACTGAGAACTCAAAGTTATTTATCAAGTCTCTTCCGATAGTTAGATAAAATTATCTCTCCCAATTAAATTACTGTATTCCTATGCAAAATAATTTGGAATAGATTCATTAAGTTCAAACTCTCATAAAAGTTACACACAACATATAGGTATATTTTTATCCTATACACAAACTCAACAATTTAATCCTAAGAAGAATTAATCAGCCACATGTCATCATATTTTAAACTTAGAATTTATCTTCTAATTTCATCTAGATTATCAAATTAATTGTTGACCACACAATTATATATTAAGCATAAAATATGACAAACAACTCATGTATAATCAATAGAACTAGAAACAAGAGTAAATCAATTTAACTAGACATTAGTTTCCATTGCAATCTTAATAAAGATTTAGTTCATAATGTAATTGAAAAACATCCTTCTCAAATTAAACAACATCTCATAAAATGAAAAAGTAAAAATAAGAGAAAAGAATGAAAACTTAGTTGCAATCTTCACTTTTTCTCTAACCTTCGATTTTGATTTTCTTTGCATCGATTCTTTCGATTCTTATCTTCAATTTTCTTTTAATCCTTGGTCTTTTCCAATGTTAGCAGCCCCCAAAAACAATATATCCCTTTTAAAACTCAAACCCTAGCATATATCTCTCTTAGAGTTCAATTTCGGGTTAAAAATAAGTCAAAATTCGCGTCCAGAGCCAACACAAGCGCCTAGGCACTGCCCCCTTTTAAGCCTAAAGTTTTCCTTGTTACTTAGCCTTAAAAAATTCAACACTTAAGCTTTAAATTGACCCTGTTTCGTTTTAAATAATCTTGTTTACTTCCAATTGATGATTTCTACCAAATAACATCAAAACACACAAAACAAATAAAAAGGAAGATAAAATAATTGAAAACTTGTAAATTCATCAAGCCAAAAGTAATGAATTTGTAGGTATAAAACCTACTCATTAGAAGCCAAGTACACAAATTGACACCTACATTTAATGTGACTTGACTATTCATTTATAACGATGCAAGTGATGAAGATTGTCATTAATGAGCCTCTGTATTCTTAGACCCTAGGTATGCGGTTATGATGGCTAGACATTAATAACTGTTACGTTGAGTATATTTCCTCGGTGCGCCTCGAGGTACAGTTCCTCCCGAGCATTGAATACTCAGAAGTAGGTGTCGGACACTGATTATAGACACTTGAGTGCTCAGGAATAGCCATAGGTGTTTGGCGTGTCGTCGGGCACTTGTCCTATCATCCTAGCATTGAATATGTGAAGATTTGAGTGAAGAACATTTAGATCTTCGTGGGTAGAAGTGTCAGGCATTGAATGTTCATATGAGATTTGAAGTTTTTGCACTCATTGTTATTTCAGGTACAAATACTCCACAGAAAAATAAACAAAGGTACGCAACATTGAACCAAAATTTTTGATACATTGAGATTGAGCCTCCAATCTTATACTTACTTAAGTTTCGGAGGGGATAAGTCTGGTATTCACCTAACTCCCTTTTTCTGATCATGTGATTGTTGCAGATCCACTAGACTAAAAGTCACTATCTCATACTATTGCAGGAAATCTCCTGTGCATAATATATATAAAATTTGTGTTTAAAAACCACACAGAGAATAGTAAAACCTACTCTTATTAATCCGAAATCAATTTATTTATATTCACAATTAGGTGAAAATGTAACAAGAACGGATAGTGGTACGAATTTAACGGTACCATAACACGGAGAGAAAGATAATGAATCTTGTTATGTAGTAATTCGGGCTAAGCCCATCTCAAATAATGGGCTGGTTTTCACTCTCAAGTCGATGTAAATGTTGTTCTAAAATTTTTTAGATTTTTGACACAAAAAAATAAACCATCCTCCGGCTCTTTTGTAATTGTTTATAGATAAGAGTGTTAATCAAATCAAGCTTTCTAAGTTTAAGTTTAAATTTGTCGAACTTGCTATTAAACGAGTCTAAAAAATTTATTCAAACTCAACTTGTCAAAAAAATGAACCGAACTTGAACTGAAAACGAATCGAACGTTGCGAGTTCAAATTGAGTCTTTTAGACTTATTTTTTTAAACAAGTCTTAAAAATTATTCAAACTCAATTCATTTAGAATACAAGTCGAACTCTAATCGAGTAATATCAAAGTCGCGTTTGAATAGCTTGTCTCGATTAACACCAAAATTATTCATGCATCCTATTGAATTGTGAAGCTAAAATTTAAGTCTCATACAAATTACATTCGATGGATTTCTTTTTAAGGTTCACTTTGTCATGTGACAAAGAAAATATGTTAAAAGCATATGATTCAAGTGGTGAGAATAAGTACAATGAACATGACTTACACAAAACATAAGTATATCTCTCTATACTATCCACACACACAGAAAGTATCTGTTCCCAAGTTTGTTGTACAAGTTAACGCACTACTTATTCAGGTAATCAAATAAAAATAAAGTAGAAATTTATATATTTTGAGTTTAAGTCTTCCTAGTCATATAAAACCTAAATTTAGATAATATAAAATTGATATTGTAGATTATGTACATCTAAATTTTGTAGTGTACTCTCAAATTTAAAAGAGTGTATAATTAAAACGATTATCATCATAAAACCATATTTGAAACTTGTTCAACTAATCTTCTAGATTACTCCAGATTTCTACGGGGAGAGAAAAATTCGGGCACAGGACACAGAGCACAGAGCACAGAGTAAAGGGTCCAAAAGTCCCATGACGGCATGTCAATCAACGAATCACTGGATGACAAACTAGTACACACAATGCCACAATGAACTAGAATGTAACCTAGTACATTTCTATTCAATTGACTTTCTGACAAAACCCGTCACTCTCTCTCTCTCTCTCTCTCTCTTACGGTTGGCTTTTTCCTGTACAAATACAACTTTCTGACTTTCTGTGCATGTCGGTGTATCTGTTTCTCTGTCCCTCTCTCACTTTCCCCTTTCATTGTCTAAACAAACGCAACTTCCTCTATGTATATCACTGTCTCTGTTTAATTCCAAAGTACTAAACTGAACCCAGATAAAACTGAGACTCTGAACCACAACAAGGTGATCAAGCAATGGTGGCCTTGAAAGGAGGGACTAGACCGCCATGGGTGGGGCTTGGAGCTGCAGTTTGGGTCCAAATAGCCGCTGGGAATGCATACAACTTCCCTCTCTACTCGCACTCTCTAAAATCTGTTCTGGGTTTCAATCAGCACCAGCTCACAATGCTTGGAGTGGCCAATGATATTGGTGAGAGCATTGGGCTCCTTCCGGGCATGGTCTGCAACAAGTTTCCACCTTGGGTTGTTCTTTCGATCGGTTCTTTTGCATGCTTCTTTGGCTATGGTGTTCTCTGGCTTGCCCTTAGCGGTACTGTTGAGTCCTTGCCTTACTGGGTGGTGAGATTGTCTTTTTTTATTCTTTTTATTTGAGGAAATCTAATTTTGCATACCATTTGGTGGTTTCATTGTATAGAGATATTATTTTAGTAATTTTATGGATATTTAATGTTTATGGAAAATGCAATTTAAACCTAATTCGGAATCCTAATCTGGGACCCAATCAGTTACAACCGTTTGATTGAAAGTAGGCTCTATCAAATCTTGGAATTTACAATGAATTTGTCCACAAATTAGGTCCCCCTATAGCATTGTTCGTATTTTATTGTGTGATATCGGTTTAGATTTATTTTGGCTATGGTGTTCTCTGGCTTGTCCTCAGCCGTACTGTTGAGTAGTTGCCTATCGGTTGGTGAGTTTGTGTTTTGGGATACTTTTGTTTGATGAAATCTAATTGTTGCATACCCTTTTGCTGGTTTGATTGTATGGAGATGTTATTTTAAAGTTTCTTCATGGTTCTTCTTATCTTAATATTTTTTAGTGGGTAGATAATATGTTGGAATTAGATTGGATGATATTTGTCAAAAACTTGAGTCAGTATTTAGATTTATTGGGTTTATTGCAGTGTTACTCGATATCTTCCTACTTAATTTAGAAATTTGCAGATCATTTGTTCTGATTATGGAATTATTAATGTCTTCCGAGATAATCAATGCCTATGTGTCGATTGCCTATTATTGTTTTCATGTGTGAATTTTTGCCAGACTTTCATGTCGACAGATTCTTAATATTTAATGTTCAATTAATTTTTTTGGAGTAAGATTGGGTGGTCTTTGTGCATAAACTTGAGTCGGTTTGTAGATGTATGGAGTTTATTGTACTATTTGAGATTGGGTTAGATTTTATTATTCAATATGTTCCTAATCAGTAAAAAAAGCTATGCATGGATTGCTTGTTCTTGTTTTGTAAATTTATTTTTCTCCCACTTTTATGTTGCCTTATTCCCTCAAGAACGGTCATTATAATTTGGTTAAGTTAGAGTTGTTCAACTATTTTTGGCTACTTAAAAGGATCTTGTATATTTATTTCACAACTAAGCACGTCTCCCACCTATTCTATGCTGCTAGTCTAGTTTGAATAATGCAGAAGGCCTTCAAACAAAGGTTTTAGAAAAGTAGTTTTACTTGAAACTAATTTGTGGCTTCACATTAGACATCAGCCATCCAGTAGTAATGTTGCAATGAATTATCACTTACAGGCACGGGATTTGTAAATCAAATTAATTTGCAACGTATTGGTGCTGTCTTGGTTGGTGAAAAGCTTTAGACATTACGATTATCAAATTGAGTCAATGGAGTTAAAAATTATGGATGACAGAGAAATTCGCATCAAGCCGAGTAAGACAGCATTGCTACTCCCACCATTCAAACGTGGAGTGTGTCTAGTAAATAAATATAGAGCACTGATGGAGCAACTATTTGATTCAGCTTTCAGAAGAATATTATCAGCTTTGGCTCTTCCCAGTGGTAAAACATGATGTGCATATTAATTTGAAATTTATTTGATTCCATTCTCACCTTCAGAGACAAAGCAGATCTTGTTGATTATGGCTATAAATCTTGCTCATTTCCTAATAGAAGTCTATGCGTCTGTCAGGAAAATTGTCACTCTCTTGGTGAAACTTAGTGTTACTCCATAAAAGTTTTCTTTAACATTGTCTACCCCATGGTGGGTTCTGACTTCTAATTTCCATGTTAATTGGAACAGAGTATAATGTCAACAGAATAGGATTCAACCTCGTACCTTAAACTTCAAAGTCACAAATTTATGATGACCATATCCATTTCTTGAATATTCTTATCTTTTGTTCTTCAAACTTTCACTCAACAAAAGATGTATTGATGGTTTGGCAGTTGTGGATTGCGCTTTGTGTAGCGACCAATAGTAGTGCTTGGTTCAGCACAGCAGTTCTTGTAACTAACATGAGAAACTTCCCTCTCAGTCGGGGCACTGTTGCTGGTATTATCAAAGGTTATGGAGGCCTCAGTGCGGCAGTGTATACAGAGATTTACAGTGTTATGCTTCACAATTCCTCTTCTGAGCTTCTGCTATTCCTTGCACTTGGCGTTCCTACATTGTGTCTCATTATGATGTTTTTTATTAAGCCATGCATTCCTGCTTCCGGGGATGATTCTGCAGAGCATTGGCATTTTCTTTTCACCGAAGCCACTAGTGTTGTATTGGGCTTGTACCTTCTCACAACAACAGTTTTGAACAAAGTGCTTTCTTTAAGTGGTCCCATTTCTTATACTTTTCTGCTCATAATGGTGCTCCTCCTTATGGCTCCACTTGCTATCCCTGTTAAGATGACATTCTACCCCTCAAATCGCAGCAAGTCGGGGGCACTTGGTCAACCACTTGGGTCTTCGGACCATGTAATTCAAGATGATTGCAATGCAGAGAAAACAGAACCATTGCTGACACCATCTTCATCAGCGACAAACCTTGGAAGTCTTCACGAAAGTGAGAGTGTGTCAGATGTAGACACACTTCTTGCTGAGGGTGTAGGAGCAGTGAAGAAAAAGAGGAGACCTAGAAGAGGAGAGGATTTCAAGTTCGGAGAAGCTTTGATCAAGGCTGATTTCTGGCTTCTGTTCTTGGTTAACTTTGCTGGGGTTGGCTCTGGGGTTACTGTTCTCAATAACCTGGCCCAGATAGGGATAGCTCAAGGTGTTCAGGATACAACAATCCTGTTATCCCTCTTTAGCTTTTTCAATTTTGTGGGTCGTCTTGGTGGCGGTGCTGTTTCTGAACATTTTGTTAGGTATGTTCTGTTTAAAAATGATGGTGAACTATTGAACCAACAAAGGTTGATTAAAATGTTAGGATTGACAACCATGTAGTGAATGATATTTTCGACCACCATATATCAATATATTGCTATACACGAAAGTGTTTGGAACTCACTCCAAGGGAATTTTCATGTCTGCCAAAATGATTTCTACTGCTTATTCCTGTTGCTAAATTTTCATTCTTTCAGGAAATAGTGTCTCTATTTTCGCAGAGGTCTCATGTCCTCCAATATTTGTTATTAATATTAGTAGATGGTCCAAGTTATTCTCCTTTACACTTCCTATAATAGATAATAGAGATTGAAAAATGCAAGGTCTGTGGTAGGAATATGGGTTCATGCTAGACTGCTGAAAATGCACTGTATTTACCTTTCTTCTCTGTGAGATTAGTTTTGATGTGGCGTGGAACTCTATTTCACAGGTCGCAAACAATCCCAAGGACAATTTGGACGACTTTCACACAAATAATAATGATCTTTACCTATGTTCTTTTTGCGTCTGCCATTGATGGTACTCTTTATGCTGCAACTGCATTGCTCGGAATCTGCTATGGTGTCCAATTTTCTATCATGGTCCCAACAGCCTCCGAGCTTTTTGGTTTGAAGAATTTCGGAATAATTTTCAATTTCATGTCAATTGGGAATCCTGTTGGTGCTTACCTTTTCTCGGGTCTCCTTGCTGGATATATATATGATAATGAGGCAGCAAAGCAGCAAGCCGAGTCTTGTTTGGGTCCAAGTTGTTTTAGACTCACCTTTCTGGTTCTGGCCGGCCTCTGTGGTGTGGGTGCCATACTTAGCATTTTTCTTACTCGAAGAATTAAGTCTGTTTACGAGACACTTTATGGTGGGGGCTCCTTCCAGCTGCCTCAGATTCAAAGTCAAAGTTCAAATCACTGAGATGTTTGGAATGAAGTGTGAGTAGATCTTTTCTTAAGCCATTGCTGAATCATGTCTTTGTTTTCCCCTTCAGCTTAACAAGTTTGGGTTTCTTGAACTTTGAATCAATGTGGTGCATTATGCATGTGAGGGCACCAGGTCTTCATATGACTACGCATTGAGTCTCTAATCCATACATGTGATAGTTGTTTTACTCATAATCTTGATTAATATTGTAAAACAACAGAATGTTGGGTTTTGGAAGAAAGGCTGCTATTTTTAACACATAGCTCCCAGATGCATCCCAACAAGATATCTGTGCTACTAGTGCATCTGCTTTTGATATTTTATCTGTGGTTTGGTACATGATACTGTATCTTTTCATTACATGTGCATGTAATAAGAAAATGTGATCTGTCAGGCATCATTTATTTTGAAAAAGATACTTCAATGGCTGAATGGATGTGAAACTAAAAGGGGGTGATAACAATATCTCCAGATATGATTGCAAGCAAATGTGATTCGTCATGAAAAATGTGAGGATTCAAGTAGCCAATTCCAAATAGTTTGATAATTTTTTTTTTTTTTTTGTGTTGTGTTGCAGTTCGTGCTATTTTTTGTTGTTTAATGCAGGAATTAAGGCCACTGTCAAATTTAATGAGGGAAAAAGTACGACAAATTTTGACCTCCCAACTATCCTATACATCTTTCACCATGAAGCCATAGTTAAGGTGCACAGGGTGTTACCGTCTAGCAGTTGGATATTCCACATCTTCACGGAGCATTGAGTTTCACCAGCTTTTAAAAGAAACACACATTGCTCCATCTGGAGTAGGCTTGGAACCTGTTTTCAGGGTTAGAAACTTAATTCCCATCCACCACTTTTAATTGAGTCGTCCTTTTGTAATGACCTCCGTCTTGTTCAGGGTTTCTTCAGAATTTCATGGAACTTAATGCTTAGTAGTGTCATAGATCTGAGCTTTTGTAGATCAACAGAAGTAGATGTTATCCAATTCATGGCACCAAAATGAGTTTGCCCAAGTAGTTGCATATCCTTTAAAACTGCCGACTAGTTCTTATCCCTCCTAAAAGCCTTCACTGCACTGTCTTGGAGGAAAATATCATTGTCAATTCTTGTTTTACTGTTGGTTATTTTGTACTTGCATGGCTAAAAGAAATAATATATGATAACCATTGACATAAAAGTTACCCTAGAATACAAGCCTCCCGTAGCTGCAGGATTTGAGAGAGTAGATAAGCGCTTTTTTTCCCATTGTGCAGTGAGAGTATCCTATGATTCAAACCTGTGATGGAAATACTAAGCGTGGATTAGAAGTTATTGTTAGTGGTAAATGTCAAAGCCATTAGGCTTCTAGCAGAAAACAGGAGAAGGAAGTGCCCAAGACAGGACTAAAGCCTGAAAGCCAAAGTGATTTGGCATGGCAGTGCCTTAATGATTGTTGTGCTTGTATGTATGCATAAGCCATTGTGTGAGACTGAAATGTTGCACAGGTTGTGATTGAAGTGACCTTTTTAAGACTGGATTACGTTGAATCTTCTATGAGAGATGAACACATCATTATGTTATAAATCATGTTCCAGATTACTGATTCAAGAACTGTGTCAATTTAAGGCCAGGTTAGCGGATTATATTAAAATTCGTGTCCTGCTTAAAAATTGGCTCAGTTCATATACAATCTATCAATTAAGCGGTTCTGCTGGATTACCTTCATAGGTAGAACTCAGCATTCAAGACTGCTTTCACTGTGAAGCCTTGAGATGATTGGATGTATGCAAGTTTTTTCCATTATTTCCATCATTGTGAAGCCTTTGAGATGATAAGATATATGCAGTTTTATCTCATACGAGAAAAAGATGTAAGAACAAAAAACGCTTGACATAAAAAATTAAAGTAAATACAAGCATCCCCTTCAAGTAGGTTTCATATCTTGAAACATTAAGGACCATAGGGAATGAACTCCCTCATCACTAGGTATCCTCCTGAGCTTTGGATCAATTGGTGTGAACATCAACCTCTCCTGTACCTTCCCATCTAAAGGCCCAGATATACTTAAACCCCTATTTGTGCCCATCAACTTTTCCTGCACCTTTCTGTCCAGAGGACCTGATCTCATTATGCTCCTATTTGTCACCATCACATTCTCTTGCTTTCGCTCAGTCACGCCATTCTGCTTTCTCAATGCTCCTGTCCATTGTGTCCGATAAGGCATTAGCTCTGACAAAGTCATATGACCCGAGTCCTTGTGAAAAACCCACTTGCCAATGTTCTTGGTGAGGAGCCTCCTGGTTTTCTTGATCACCAGAACAAGCCTTGACCGGGCATTTGGGCTTCCGCCAACCTCCTTGCTAGCAAGCTTGAGAATCTCTAGCCTGTGTTTGGCCACATGAATGCCCATGCTCTGAAGAAACTCATGGTTGAAGTAGGTTAGATCCTCTTCTTGGAGCTCATTGCGAGTGAAAGTGAGGCCATACTTATGTATAAGGGATGGGTCGAGGCTAGTTTTTGATAACCAGGAGTACCAATACATGGCTACTTGGTTATCAGTCTAGATTTTTTTGATGATTTTAAGTGATGTGGACTGAGAGATGTATACTTATATAAGAAGCAGATGTAGTAAGTAAATGTGCAGTAAATAGATAGGAAGTGGAGTGGGTAAGGTGATGGTTGGGTGGGTGCCAATTAGCACGGGTTAGTTTTAAATAAAGGGCAAGTCGTACTAAGTGTGAATTAAACTGACGCACATGATTTATAGATAATTTTGTGTGACCAAGAATTTTCATTGTTAGTTAGCTGGTCTCACAATTCAAACACAACCCACGAGCCTAATAGAAATCAACAGGGAATTGGTGAGTTTACATAGGATAGACAAGAATGCAGCTAAACACGATACGAACTTGCTAAACATGATCGATATATTGTACAAATTCAAAAATATACGTACCCAACTATAAATAGAAAACATGAGTTAAATAGATTTTAACACAAAATGACTTAAGACATTACACTTTATTGATACTACTAGTTATAAATTATGAGTCTAAATAACGCTCGAAGAAGAACGAAAATAATGAGTGCCTAAATAATTCCCAACTCCCCCTCTGCATGGAATTCAAACGGGTAGGTGGGAAGATCATGAAATCCTAGGCCTTGTGCCCTATTAAATTAGATTTTAATTGTGATGCAACTGTTAGGCATATATTGTTTATTACCCAAAAGTGGCATTTAGTTCATCCATTTCTTGTTATTCAACTCTCTCATTCATTAATGACATTATATTGGCTGAACTTTGGATGCCCTGGACAGTACAGTGTACAACCACCATGTGAAAGAGTTCTAGTTGCACATAATGGATCTCCAAATTACTTAAACCTACCCCCCCAACACACACACAATTTTTTAAGGGCTGGCCCCTTGAGTAAAATCCGGGCCGTAAATAGTTGGTCCATAAATTATATAATTAATTTTGGCAAAATAAAAAATAAAAAATTAAGGAAGGTCGGTTTTATGACTTAACCCTTGTACCAAGAGTAAATATTATGTGTAACATGTAATTTTATCATCCAATAACAAACTTATAAGTGAGCAAAGTGAACTTAATTTCTTTACTCATAGTGATTATTTTTGTACATGGATTTGGTAGTTACTAAATTAAATGGGGTTTACTTATTCATATGTTAATTTATTACTGATTGGTAACATTACATGATAATAGTGATCTAGTATCATCGTTATATTTTATATTTTCTTGTGCGATTGGCACCGAATAGCGACTTGACCAATGCTCGTTCATGATTAGCATATAATGTAGGTGTGTAACTTGGGTTAGACAACCGAGTCCAACCCGAAAAAATTAAGGCTTGAGTAAGGGTTTTTAATACTTAGGTTGGGCTTAGATTAAAAAACTCCAACCCGAATTTAATTTGGGTTGTGCTCTGGTTTACAGGTTCAACTCGAACCTAACATATATATATATAATATATATATATATATATATATATATATATATATATATATATATATATATATATAAAGTATTAACACTGATTTTTCATTTTTGGTGTGGAAAGTAGATAATCAATAATCATGCACTGTTATGAATGAAATATATGGATGTTTATGAATTTGTAATTATTATCCCTTCTCTTTGTCTCTCTCGCAGTGGACTGGTGGCAATAGTTTTTATGTTCTGATCATGATTTTTAGGTTAAAAATTTGGTTGAAGTTATTGGTTGTTAATTTATGTGAATATTATGTAATATATGTATTAGGTTTAGAACAATAAGCCTATTTTGAGTTCTACTCGAACTCAACTCGAATTGAACCTGTAAAATAACCCGAAATCATTAACCCGAATTAAACTCGGGCAGTGCTCGGATTGAGTTCCTCAACCAGAGGTAGGATTAGAGTTAAGGTTGAAGATTATATACCTAGGGTTAAGTTAGGATTGATTCTTCAACCCGCCCCGAATTACACCCCTAATATAATACAGCTTGCTATTGATCGACTGGCCCGCCCAGCTCAAGTAGTCTAGCCCAGAAAAATAGTATTGGGTTAGATTTCTTGGCCCATGGTCTAGGCCTGGACCAATGGAAACGCTCCAATTACACGGTTCCCAGCAATGTTATGCGAATCGGATTTGATATTGAATCGGTGGAGGAATCGGGTGAATTATTTATTGATTCAATCAGGGGGTCAATTCGTCAGAACGGTCTTATAATAAAAAATTAAAAAAAATAAAATATAACAATTTTACTAAAATAATTCATAATCACAATAAAATAAATAAATAGTATAATCTGTGCGATGTACTAAAAATTGCCATTTCAGTCTAAAATGTACTACATAATAGGTATTGTCCATTGTCCATTGTCCAGTGGACTCTCTTTCTATAGTCCATTTCTTCCTCTCTTTTCTAAATCTATATCTGTGTCTGTGTGTGCGTGTGGCCAAAGAGAGAGAAAAAACAATACCCACCATTAGGCCATTACCAAGCATCTCTACTCTTTCCCTTTCTCTTATGAAGCAGCTCAAGCCAGCGATATCTTCTCCCTTTTTCTTGGTGCAGCACGCTGTGTTCTTTTTGGGGATCCCCAGCAGCTTCCTGCAACAGTTACCACCAAGGCAGCGATCGAATGGCAGGAGAAATAGAGGAAGAAATGGAGTGTAGAAGAAGAAGGGGACCAACTAGATTTAGAAAGAGAGGAAGAAATGGACTGTAGAAAGAGAGGAAGAAATGGAGTGGAGAAGAAGAAGGGACCAATTAGATTTAGAGCAAAATTATGAATTTTGAGCATTTATAGAAATGGCAATATAACCGGCCGGTTCGACAAAATCATCCGATTTACGGGTTTTTTTTCAAAAATCGGCTGAATTAATGGTTTTATTTCGGTTTAATTACTTAAGCGGTCCAATTCAAGAATCGGTCCGGTTTAATTGCGTAAGTGGTCCAATTCAAGAACCGGACAGGCTGAAATCTGGGTTCATAGCCGAATCGATCGAACCGGCTTATCCAGATTCTGATAACACTGTTTCCGGCCAGGGCATGCGCTATAAACATTGGCCTGTGGACTAGCGTGGGCCAGCCTAGAACAGTTATATGTAAGTGTGGAACATATTGTTTTCATTTTAAAATTTTTGACAAAGTAACGGGATTGAACGAACGGAACGAACTACCTTGAAGATCGTTGTGTACAAAGCTCAGTCAATCGCATAAACTACCATCTTTCTCGGTCAAACAAATGCGAAGCGTAGCTTGGTATCAACATCTTTCTCTCTCTCTGTAAACATGCATACATACATGCTTATATTCATGTTAATCTCTCCCTGTGTATGTATCTTTGTTATTGTTCTCTTTTCCCTAAATTTGTATGTCTGCGAAAACCATACTATGCATTCTTGGGCATTATTGAGAAAATCCTCACCATTGATCCGCCCAGTTTTTGCAGCTCATTATTTCAACACTCGACCAATTATCACTGATTCAACTAACCAATCATCATCATCATTGGAATCTTTAGGTGGGTCTAGCTATGGTGGAGGTAAGAAGAGTGACTCAGGTTTTAAATCACTTCTGAGATTGCTCTGTTCTGGAGTCGTCATTGTTGGGTCCAGCTTGGGGCTTTGTTGTTGGTCTTCTCTCTCCGAAAGAAATTCATTTGTATGTTACGCTGATTCAGGGGGTGATAGTAGCAAGAGTGAAAAGAAACCCAAGTTCATATTTGGAGGTAGTATGCCTCTATCATGCATATTTTATGTATGATTAAATTCGTAAGAGATAAGAATATAAATTGATGTGGGTATTCTAATATTTCAAGCAAGGTTCTAAACATGTTGATGTGTTGATCAATCTGTGGTGCTATTGAGTAGTTTACCACTAAGTGGGGAGGTTAGGTTAGTAGTGACTGTTTCTTGTTTGTAGAGAATCGGACAATTTGTATTTCAGTCACAATGTGTGTTCTTTGCATTTATCCTTTGAATTAGGAATGTCCAGATATATAAAATATTGGTATTTTTTAATCAACTAGATCCAGAATGGTGTCGGGATCCAAATTTGAATGGAGATTGGGGTTTCTGACGTTGGGAAGAATTTTTTGGAGGTGAAGTTGGGCCCAACACAGCCGCACAATGAGAGTCATGTTGTTGGAATTTGGCCTGGTTGAATCCAATTCTTTGCCAAATGCTCTAAAAATTTGTCCTAACATGATATTATCAACTCAGGACATAGTTCGTTTTGTTAAGTAATACTTGTCGAAATGCCATGCATATTGGTTACATCAGGTCAACTTCATACATTTTGGTCTTTTTATTGTAATTTCAGACGCATACAGGAGAAAAGTGTTCTTTAAGTATGAGAAACGGCTAAGAATGCAGAGCCCTCCAGAAAAGGTATGCAGCCTTGTTGAGCATGTATATCAAGAATAGCGCTATGCAGCATTGCGATGCATTCATAAATTATAGTGTTTTAGACGATCCCTAGCTTTAAAATCTTTAGCTGGTATAAAGTTTGTGACTTGAGCTTTCATGTCGTCAATATGCTCCCTCGAGCAAGAGACAATTAAAGAGGTTTCAATTTTCAGTGTTAATGGGCCTTGAAAGTCACATGTGGCTTGAGTTAACTTCCAATGATCATATTCTGCTCATTTGTAATAGCTGCTCTTTGGTTCTGTTTCAGGTATTTGAGTACTTTGCATCATACCAAACACCTAATGGAGAAGTATTTATGACACCATCAGATTTGTTGCGTGCAATTGTTCCTGTATTCCCTCCGTCTGAAGCACCGCGTATCAGAGGAGGATATCTGAAAGGGGAGTGGATTTCTGGCGAGTTACATTGTGTTCCTGCGGAATTTTTTATGCTTTTTGACACTAACAATGATGGACTTATATCATTTCCAGAGTGGGTGCCAATTTCCCTCTTTCAGATTACTTATAGCTTGTCTACAAACTAATATATCATTTCAACCATTTTCCAATCACTGTTCAAATGCACAATGTAAACTTTCAACGGTGGAAGTTAATATCCTATAATGGTATCTTCATATTGATCTTTGTTATCGTTGTGTAGGTACATCTTTTTAGTTACACTACTCAGCATCCCAGAATCAAGCTTTTCTGTGGCATTCAAAATGTTTGACCTCGACGGCAGCGGGTAGGTCTAATCTTACATTCATCAAACACCATGGCTTCTATTCAAACTATTATTGTTGCCATTTTACCTTTTCATATGTCGGTTCTTTATCTTTCATCTTGTGGTTGCCTTTATTCTAACAACCACTGAAATCACTCCATTTGTTATTGTCATGTCTCCATGGTTCTCAAAATTATATTCCACTGCATCACAGTGTTGACAATTCTCACCTTTGAGCTACAAAACATCTTCAATTACAATTCCTTCCATAAAATAATACCTTATTTTCACTCTTGTTGTGCCAGCATCTTTAATGCTCCGTATGGTGCGATAGAAAAGTGGAAAGATAAAAATTTGGAAGGATAGAAAGTTAGAAAAATAAAAGAAATAAATAAAATATCATGTTTGGTAAGGAAGGAAAATAGGAATGATGGAAAAGTGAATGGATTAACTTTCGTTCTAACTCACCAAAATCAATCCTTCCAAAATCGAACGGAAAGTGGATTAAAAGTTAATTATTTGTGTCGAGATGTATTTTATTTGTCTATATATCTTTTTATTTATACATATATTATGTATATATTAATTTTCATATAAAAATACAATAATAAAATATGTATATATATATATATATTTAAAAAAAATTTAAAATTAAATTTTAAAAAATTTTAAATTTAAATTAAAAAAATATTTTTCTCATTTTAATTAGGGATGAAAATTTTTAATTAACACAATGACACGACTTGAACTCGACACGAATTTTATGACTCAAACTTAATTAACTCGAATACAAGCACGATACGAAATAAACATGTCAACTCGTAATTCTCGACAAGACACAATTAGTTAAATGAGTTGAGTTATGTGTGATTAATGTTTGACACAAAGTCGTAATGACTCAACATGAATCTGACACGATACAATTCGATTCGATTGTCACCACTAATCTTAGCCAATAAAAAAAAAAAATAGTCATTTTTATTTTTCATCCATTCAATCAAACACAAAGGAAGGAAAGTGAATCATTCCTACTTTCCTTCCTTGAAAGATAGAAAGTGTATCCTTCCTACTTTTCATCCTTCCAACTTTTCATCCTTTCTACCAAACGGAGCATAAAAGACAGCATTGACATACCTATCTGCATATAACAAGTGCAAAGAGAACGAAGGTCCATTTGTTAGCTGGCTAGCTTCTATTTAAACTAGCTATCACAATGGATCCCATTTGCTGCAAGTTGTATAGACGCAGCATCTTATATTTGGTGACATTGTCTAATCTATGTTGGATTTTTCCGAAGACAGCTTCTTATATCTCTTACTAATTCACTACTGATATTGATAAATAGGGAGATAGACAGGGAGGAGTTTAAGAAAGTGATGGCCTTGATGCGAACTCATAGTAGACAAGGAGCTCGCCACAGGGATGGACAGCGAACTGGACTAAAAGTTTCAAGTTCTGTAGAGGATGGGGGTCTACTAGAGTTTTTTTTTGGCAAGGATGGCAAGGCATGCCTTGAACATGGAAAGTTCGTCCAGTTCTTGAGAGACTTGCATGATGAAGTAGGTACCTCTTATGATTCAGCATTACTCATTTCGAGCAATGTTACGTGAACTTAAAAAATAGATTTGATAATTACAACCATTGATATCATTGTGAGTTACAGTATTTATTGGGACCTACTACCTATTCAATGGTTGAGATTATCAAGTCTAATTTTTAAGTCTATCTAACATTACTCATTTTGGAGTGGCAATTTTTTAACCAAAACAGTTATTTACTCCTTTGTCTATATTTCTGATGGACAATCGTTCTTACCGTGTGGCGTGCTTTTCGTAGTCATATATAAAATACAATGTGTCTTAAACACATTTGAAAACTAATACCGTCTAATTGCAGTGGATTTAATACAAGTACGCTACTATATGTGAGACCCATAAACCATCCAATGTTTTGAATATTTACTTTAAAGTGGTTTGTGAAAAAGAAAAGATACATTGACTTCTGGGAAAAGTTATATTCTAAGAGTTTGCAAGACCAATGTTATGCATGATTTACGCTTGAAACACATTTTCATCTTTTTATGATATTCTTAGAAGATATCTGAAAATTACCCCTCAGTTAAATGCAAACCACATTTTATTTCGTTTTAGGCTTTGGAGACAGAGAAATCGAGAGAAAACAGGTTAGAAATAACAAGAAATTTGATGGCCTTGCAAATCTTTTCAAGAAGTTTAAAGTAGGTGGGAAATCCATTGCCCCAACACTGTCCCTTGTGAGGAAAATCGAAATGGCCAACAGAAGGCAGAAGCAAATAGATTTTTATTCCAAGCTAAAGTGACCTATAGAATAGAATCTTCCATGAACTTGCTATTAAACTCACTTGGACCTGCACTGACTTGTATGTTACCCATCTAGAAAGCTTAAAAGCCCATTAAAGCAAATAATGAAATGATGAATACATTTGCACTTAGTTTTCTAAATGATTAATTTATAAGATCACAACTCGTCGATTTCAGCTGCTAAATATTACTATATTGTTCTCCAAAATTTACAGATATTGCGTTTGGAGTTCGCCCATTATGACTTCAAGTCGCAAGGAAACATATCAGCTAAAGATTTTGTATTGTCTATGGTTGCATCTGCTGACATGAGGCATATAAACCAGTTTCTGGCTCGGGTTGATGAGTTAAACAATGAACCACATCTTAGAGACATACGCATTACCTTTGAAGAGTTCAAGAATTTTGCAGAGCTGCGTAAAAGATTGCTACCCTTGTCCCTGGCAATCTTCAGTCATGGGAAAGTGAATGGGTTGCTAACAAAGCAAGATTTCCAAAGAGCTGCTTATCAAGTATATCTACCATGCTTTCTTCTTCGTCTTCTTTTTTGCTGTTTGCCATGCTTCCTTTTTCACTCCTATATTTACTATATGTTTTTTTTGGATGAATTCGACTCACATCCATGAGATTTGAAATAGTTATATTGTCACCTCCTCACATTTCAAAAATGACACAAAAAACCTTTCATTTGATTGAACACTCAAAAAATTATAGATCTGAACTCATACCCTAACCACTCCAGACTTGTACCATACAAATAAAAATCGAGCCCTCATTTTCCCAGCCTGCAATCTCTCTTTCTCTCTCTCCTCAGAACGAATAAACACCCCCCCCCCCCCCACAAACAAGTAATAGAAAAAACCGTTCACTACCAAAATAAACGAAGTAGTAGAAAAAGAAGAGTGAGACCAGTCGTGTTTAAATCATCAACAAACCTAATTTTCTTTCCTAGCTATGATGACCATCACTTGTGAACTAACATTGTTAATTAATGTGTTGCAAGGTTTGTGGCATCTCTCTAAGTGACAATGTGATTGATATGATATTCTATATCTTCGACATAAATCGTGACGGAAGTCTAAGCTCAGATGAATTCCTGCGAGTCTTACAAAGACGGGAAAACGATATTTCGCAACCACGGGAGGCGGGATTAATGAGATTATTATCTTGCTGGATGGATTGCACAAAAAATTGTTCTTCTTTTAAGATTCTTTTGTGAATAATACTGAGTGGTGCATGATTCCATATTTTCGGATATTTCAGAGGTGGAGACAAATTCAGAATCACGTTGTTGATGCGCAAAGAGTTCACACTCGAAAGTCAAAATGTCAATGTTTTGGACGTTGGCTTATTGTCAATGTTTAATCGCCTAGTGATAGGGTTAGGTGGAAATTTTGTGGCTACATGTTGAAAGCTAGTCAATTTTACTAAATTTTCATTGAATTTTGTTGTAGAATTGGTTGTAGTCTGAATCACGGGTTGCGATGGATACCATAAAGTTCTCCTTAGCATGTTAACTTTACCACAACCACATGTACAATCTATTTGCACAAACAAGAGACGAGAAATAATTTAAAAAGCAAAATATTCCGCTGTACTGCTAATGAAATCAGATTTTTAAAAAAATAAAGACTAATGTTAGATAGATTTAATAATTTCAATTATTGAATAGGTAGTGAGTCCTAATAAATATTGGGATCCACAGTATAATCAATAGTTTAAATTATCGATTCTAATTTTTAAATTTATGTAACATTATTTAAAAATAAAATAATATTATTCGATTTCTTTCTTTGGTAAGTAACATCATTCGTTTTCAAATCATCTATCTAAATAATCCCTCCATTGAAATGCCTGACCGTACAGCTGTCCAGATGTGACCCCTCGGTTGTTGAAGCATCACTTTCAATGTTTATTTATTTATTTATTTTTGCCACTATTTAAAATTTTTACATGGAAGGAGGGTGAAGTACAAATCCGTAATTTAAAAGATTTAACAGCAGGTTGGGTGGCCATCAAGCCAACCCTGATCCTCCACTTCCATCGTGTGTACTGGATCGACTGACGATAAAAAATAATACGAAATAGAGAATAAATGAAGACTCAATATTTTTTATTTTATTTTTATTTATTTAATGCTATTAATTTTTGTCACTCATTTTTTAAATAAGTCTAATATTACTGTTTTTCTTCTAGCAATAGAAGAAAATCTCCAAAAAAATAAAAATAATAGGAGAAAATATCTTTCAACACTACTTGACACACCATTATTGGAGTCCCTGTATTTGTTCCTTTGTAGCCCGTCCCACTATGAAATAAATGATGGGCTGAATATTTATAGTTTTATTTTATTTATCTGAAAATATTTTTTTTTGCATTGTACCAACGGGTTGCTGTTTATCCTCTCATTTTTTTTTTTGACTAGTTTAACATTAGTCTTTTTTTTGTTTGTTTTAGTAAGGAAAAATTTTAATCACGCCTTTTCGACTTTTTCATATTTTTAAGGATACTTCTTTTAGTCTCTAATGTTTTGTTTGGTAAGAAACATGAAAAGTAAGAAGAATAGAAAATAAATGATAGAAAATAAAAAAAATACACTTTTTATCCTTCAAGAAAAAAAAAGTAGGAATGGTGCCTAAGATTAAGAGTGACAATCGAGTTGAGTCGAGTCGTGTCATGTCAGATTTGTGTTGAGTCATTACAGATTTGTGTCGAACATTAGTCACACATAACTCAACTCATTTAATTAATTGGGTCGTGTCGCGTTGCGAATTGATCTGTTTATTTTGAGTTTGACCAATTGAACTGAATATGAGTTTTGATAAAAAAAAAAAAAAAATTGAATATAAGTCTTTTATATTTCTTGTTCGTATGTCAGGTCATTTTCAAGTTCGTGTTGAGTCATAATCAAATTTGTGTTGAGTTAGAATTGTGTCATCGTATTGAGTCGAAAATTTTCACCTCTAGTTAAAATAGAAAAAAAAATATATTTTTTTAATTTAATTTTTTTAATTTTTTTATTTTTAAAGATATATAGACAAATAAGAAACATCTCAATATAAATAATTAACTTTTCATCCACTTTGCTTTTGATTTTAGAAAGATTGATTTTGGTGAGTTAGAAGAAAAGTTAACTCATTCATTTATCCGTCCTTCCTATTTTTCTTCCTTACCAAATATGATGTTTTATTTATCTCTCAAACTTTCTATCATTTTAATTTTTCATCAATATAAATGGAGCATAAAGCATCAATAACACTCTTCTACTTTAAATTAAATATTTCTGGCATCCCTACTATTAAACCACTATTTCTAAACAAAAATAAATAAAATCTAAAATACCAAAATTATTTTTACACAAACCTTAAATTTTTTTTATATAAAACTTGATTAAAATTCGAGCCGTTAAAATTTATATTTTTACATATTATAATTTGAGCTTTAAAATTTATTTTTTTTACATATTAAAATTTGAGTTGATTAAAATTCTATTCGAACTGGTTAAATTTTTTTTTTAAATACTAAAAATTAAAATTCTTATTTTTTACGTATTAAAATTCGAGCTGATTTGAGCTCAATGTAAGCTAGTAGCACTAATTAAAATTCGAATCGGATCAATTAAAATTTATATGTTTTTAATTATTAAAAGTCGATTCAAGTTTATTAAAATTCATTTTTATGTATTAAAATTTGAGTCAATTAAAATTTATATTTTTAACATATAAAATTTGGGTTAATTAAAAACGAATTTTAATCGGTTTGAATTAAATTTTAATCGATCTAAATTTTAATACGTAAAAAAATTCATAAAATGGAGGAGTCGCATTAAAAATGTTAAAAATAAAAGAGATGTAGATAAAGATATAATAAATTAGAAGGGATGTAAGTGAAACTTTTTCCCTTTTTAAAAAATATCTCTTTCTACGTACATGAGAAGATGAGATTCCAATCGTGATATTAATTCTCAAGTGGCCCCACATTTTTGGTGTACGATCCATTAACTCCCTGTTATAAATCAGAAATGTTAGGCTGGTCAATTTACCATTATACCTTTTTTTTTAAAAAAAAATTATAGTTAGTATATAATTATATTATCTATTAAAATAAAACTAAAAAATTAAATAAAATGTCAAATTATAATAGACACAATATCTTTTAAATTTAATTGATGTAGTTTAGTATTTTAATTTGATCATTTAAAAGACTAAATTAAATTTTAATAAATAATATAATTGTATACTAACCATAATTTAAAAAAAAAAATTTGAATTTTTATTTTTGATTTTATTTTAATAAATGACATAATTGAACATAAATTTTAATTGTAAAATATAAAATATTTGATATTTTATCTTTGATTGAAATATTTTTTGTCTAAATATAACATTTTAAATTTAAGGAGTCTAAATATTATATGACTACAAACTTCAAAAGGTCTAAGTATAATTTATGAATAGATATATTTATAATATGTACAAATTTTAAAAGATCTGTATACAATATTTTAAATATTAAGAGGTCTGAGTGATCAAGTAACAAATCTTAGGGGTCTAGTTGTAATTCTCCCAAAACTAAAATACATAAACCCGCGTACCAAACCCTACCTCATGTTCTTCTTCAGACCGCCGCTTCTCCTCCCTCAGCCTCTTCTGTCTCCCAAACGCTGACTCATTTTCTTCCCTCTATTTCTCTTTCTACTCTTCGATCGGACCACAAAGACAACAGTTGGATGCTGCAAGGAAACAAAATGGATGCCGACGAGGTAACAATCCAACACTCGTTACCGCAATCTGACCACCCACATGTGCCGCAAGTGCTCTTAAAGAACCAACAATCTCTCTCTCTCTCTCTTGTTTCATCTCTCCTCATTTGGCTTCCATTTTCATTCAAAGAATCTTTCTACACCATTTTTCATATTTACTCGAGCCCATTCGTTCCTCAACATCCCAATTGCTCTTAAAGAACCACAATCTCTGTCTCCTTAGTTGACTACCATTTTCATTCAAAGAATCTTTCTTCGCCATTTTTCATATTTACTTGAACTCATTCGTTCCTCAACATCTACGTGGCTAAACTTCCTATCCAAATATTAGACTTAAGAGATAATTAAGGGAGAATCTCCCTTAGACATCTTTTAGGGGTTTTTGTATGATTTTTTTTGACTCATTTACGATTTTTGGGTATTTCTAATTTTTCGGTCTGCAATACATTCTAAATATTTTTGACTTTATATTTTAAAAGATTTAAAAAATTTTACTTTTTTTATTTTAAAAATTATCCTGAGGTTGACTTAACGAGGAACGAAAATTAACAAAAGAGTTATATTATAATAATTTTAATATATTAAAAGTGAAATGTGAAAAATAAAATATTAGAATTTTTAAAACAAAAAATCTTAAATAATTTCTTAGGGTGTAATATCCAATTGGCCCAAAAATTTTCGTGGAAAATTTTGATCCTGGTTATGCACTGGTAGTCTGGTCTGGTCTGGGTTTTTTTTGGACCGGTTGGTGTGGTCATTTTATGCCTGACTAGTCTTTGAATTTGTGACTGCAGAGAAGGAGTCGGGTAATGGCGTCTGAGTCCACCTCCAACAATACCGAAATTACTTGCATTTTCAGCTCAAGCTCCGACGAGCACCGATGGGTCATTCAAATGGGGAAGAACTTCGAGATAATTGACATTGACAAAACACCTTGCATCTCTATAGTGCCCGAAACTTTACGAGCCGAGAAGCCGGAAGCTTATGCCCCGAAGCGAATAGGCCTCGGACCATATCACCATTTTCGGCCCGACCTCTATGATCATATGGAGAGGAAGAAGCTAACTATAATGAAAAGTGCTGTAAAACCGGACGAGAATGGCAAATTCCCACAAACCATGATCAATAAACTGAAGGAGCTTGAGCCCAAACTCCGGCCATGCTACGACAAGCTCTTGGATCTAGATGGCGAAACATTAGCATGGATATGGGCAATTGATGGTTTCTACCTGTATCAAAACTTATGTAAGAATTTTTTGGAACAGGAGATATTTATGTTGGAGAACCAAATTCCTTATCTTGTGTTAGAAGAAATCGATCATAATATTGACCACAAATTGTCAGATCAAGTATTACGTGATTTCTGTGAGGTACACTCACCGTTAAAATGGACACAAAAGCATTGGAATCGTCAGTGTAAAGAACACGAACCTGCTCACCTGCTGGATTTTTTGTACCACTTAGTTGTAACCGACGGGCATATCAGGCTGAAAGTGCGAAGCAATGTTCGAATGTTAGCAGCAACAACAGTGATTGAAAACACCGCAACTTCTATTTTAGAAGAACTACAGAAACTTAGCGATCTCATAAAACAACTGCATTTGGATAAGATTTGTGCTCCATTGTTCAAAAAACCTAATACAGCACTCGAGATTGAAATTCCTTCGGTGTCGAGCCTTAAAATTGCTGGAGTGAAATTCGCCATCGCGGAAAGGGGAATCAGTGTCCTTGAATTCGACAACACAACAAGCACTTTGAAACTCCCTGTAATTACTCTGAATGAAAATTCAGAAGTTGTATTAAGGAACTTGTTGGCTTATGAAGCTTTGTCCATGCCAGTGCCAGCCGAGTCTACCGACTCTACCCCCACCCGTAAGCTTGCAGAATACATCGATTTGATGTGTGGAATTATAGATACAGCAGAGGACGTGAAGATCCTCCAGAAACAGAACATCATCGTCATCGAAGGCAATCTTTCTCACGGTCAAATTGTAGATATTTTCAATGGGATAACAAAATCCACTGACATGGATAAACAGTTTAAAGTTGTTGAGAAAGTTAACAAGCATTACGACAGTATGCCAATAGTGAAGGCAGGGAGATTCATCAAGAAATGTTTGGATTCGTCCTGGAATTTTGTCAAAACGTCATGGAAGGTCTTGTGCTTCTTTTATTCCCTCATTCTAATCTCAGTGCTGATCTTGCAAGGCTTCTGCGACATCTATGGATGCCGCCAGGGACAAAGCCAAAATTTTATCTTAAGAGCAGCCGAATAGTGGTATAGTCGAAATATTTTGTTCAACTGAGGGATTCGATTACCACAAAGTGCAAAATTAAGCTTGGCTTTGCAATGTTGATGTTTGTGTTGTGTTATGCTGTATTTGATGTTTTCCTTGTTTGGCTCTTTTTTTTTTTTTGTTACCTCTCCGGAACTTCGTGGATAACGTAGTACTCCAATAAAAGACGGCCGGCCTAACTCAATGATCTGGCTTTATAATTTTGTCTTTCATTTTCATCCCATGGTCTATCTGTTATACGACTGAAGCAACTTGAGTTCCGTTTATAATAGGCTTAATTTTGACTTGTTAACTTTATACTTAATGCAAATTAAATGATAAAATAAATTTAATCCTATTTTCATGTTGGATTTGTAAACAAGCCAAATTCAACATGTGGCTCTCAATTCGGCTCAAACAATTTCATTAAAGATTTTAATTTTGTTATTAAATTACTCTCGTTCAAATTATGAATAACTTCAACCTTATCTTCAATGTCGTAAAACTCACTCAATCAACACCCCGTCCTAGAAAAAAAAATGTGCAAATTAGAACTTTCTATTTTTAGTGAGGGGACATAATCTCTTTTTCTACCCCCACACATGAAAGGCATTCGGGGACTGTTTGGGAAAGGGGTATTTTTTTTTTTTTTGGGGGCGGTGGGGACTTGGCAAAAAGGGTTTGGGGAAAGTAGTCCAAAAAACCCTCAAATTTTATGTTTATATAAAAAATTCAATCTTGAGTTTTCAAATCAAGCTCATAGTTAACCCAAAGTTTAAACCTATGATCATGAGTTTCTTCAAACTTATGGTGGGGGTTGTGAGTATGGAAAAATGAGTAAGGGGTTAAGGATTTAAAAAATAATTGTACCCCTTAACATGAGAATGAATTGAATTGATCAAACATTTAATATGATATATTTGTGGGTCATAAATGTATATGTGTGGCATACCAAATATGAGTATAATTGAATGTTGAATCTTATCTTTATAAAGAGAGATTTGAGTTTGGAAAGGTTTAGAGAAAACCAATCCAAACTCTTTCCCAAAATTCATCCAAATAAACCCTTGAACTCCGTTTTACAACTCATATCGTGAATAAAATCGAACTTGTTGATTCAAATTTAAATTAAATTATCAAATACAAATTTATATTTTTGATTGACAATCTAAGTTCGAATTCCCATTTAATGAATTTGGTTGGATATATTATTATTTGATCTAATTCCAGCATACGTATGGATTCATTGATGTAATAGTTATAACTTGCACATAAAAGTACTTTGTAACTTAAAAAAATAACACAATTTGAAATAGTTCTTCCTTAATTTGTTTTAATTTAAGAATTTAAAATTAATCTATCTCTCACTATTTTTCTCAAAAAAATTCGACATAATTTTATCTAACAATAAAAACTCAGAAAAATTTCAAACTATCTACAAAGTTTATATCTCTCATTATATGTATTATTGTCCAACACAAACCATTGTATTGCCCAACACAAACTATTGTATAGTCAATCTCAAGAATAAATTATTCTACCTAGCTCAAAGACATCATATTTTAAACACTACATAGTCCAAACTAAAAATAACGTTTATATCATAATACCAAATGTCACGGTCACATATTCTACACACAATGAAGTAAGAATTCACCAAACAATTTACTATCGAACTACTAGTTGTGCGCCCTGGCGTGACGAAAAAACATGAACATCTTCTAACCAACTCATGAATCTAATCTGCCCAAATGCTGATGTTCGATTGAGAGATAGGAAAAATAAGAAATCTTGACTATAATCAAAAAATAATTACATCTCTCATATGTGTCAACTATTAAAAGAAAAAAACAACAATAGAAAAAAAAAAGTGACGATACACGAAATAACAAATCAAATTAACATGACCCCAAAGCAAACACAAACCAAGTTTCGCATGTAAAACTATTCTAAATTCTTTAAAAGTAGAACTATCTAACGAGCTGTCATTAGTGAATTTTAGATAGCATGAACCAATAAAAACAACCTGACTACAACAAGCTTCAATGAAAGACGAAAAACACCATTTTAGATTAATTTCAACCTCAGTGATGTTGACATTAACGAGCGAGAAAGTAAAATCTTACTGAAATGTCACCAAATTTTTGTTGAAATATATTAAATTATGTTATACAAAATCTATGGAGTGTGACGTCGTTACTTCCATTACAAATTTTTTGGTTTATTTTAATAATTTTTAAGGGTTATTTTCAAATTATTTACAACTAGGTTACTTGAATAATCATAAAAAATTATAACTTAAAAACCCTAGAAGTTATAATATAATCTCAAAAATAGTAAATTTTTTGTTGTTATGAATAAATTTAAAAAATTATAATTTAACCTACAAAATTTATAAATTTTTGGTTTGGTAGCATAATTTATGAAATGACATGACAAATTGAAAAGGTAAAATGGAATCGGGCTACAAATTTAGGGATGCCAAATGTAATTAGGTGCTATTAAGGACCTTCCAGAGATGTTTTCCTTTCTTTACCTAATTCCATTCAATCAAACACCGGCCTGGGTAAAAAGTTGACCCATGGATTCTCGCGGTACAGCTGTCCTATGTGGCCCCTGGGTTGGTGTGCATCACTCCAATGTGTTTTGCTATTCTTAATTTTTGAAGGTTTAATCTCATTTTACACCCCAAACAATTATTTAAATTTTAATTTATATTCTCAAAAATTAAAAATCTCAATTTATACCTTTAAATATAGAAATTTGTATCAATATATACCCCCAAAAATAAAAAATCTTAATTTACACCCTCAAAGATAAAAATTTATATCAATGTGCACCCCTAAAGATAAAAAATCTCAATTTACACCCTCAAAGATAGAAATTTGTATCAATGTGCAACTAAAACTAAATTGATAAATTATACTTAGATCTCCTCATGTTTGTCACTTAATTATTTGAATCATTTTACATTTAGAATATTGCTCCTATGTCTCATGATGTTTGTACATGTGTAACATATAACCAGTTTTCGTTGATATCTATTAATATAATCGTTAAAAAATATGATTTTATAATCGTTAAAAAATATGATTTTATCTTAATAAAAAATTATAATTTCATATTACTCTTTATTTTGTGGATTCAATATACTCTAAAATTCAAAATCAAGCTTATTATTTGAATGCCTAATAGAATGTAGATATTTATATAAAGGGTAATATGAAATTATAATTTTTTATTAAGATAAAATTATATTTTTTAACGGTTATATTAACAAATATCAATGAAAATGAGTTACGTATTATATATGTACAAATGTCATAAGATGTAGGAGTAATATTCTAAATGTGAAAAGGTCTAAATGATTAAGTGACAAACATGAGTGGATCTAGGTATAATTTTTCAATTTAGTTTTAGGTGCACATTGATACAAATTTCTATCTTTGATGGTGTAAATTGAGATTTTTTTATTTTTGAGGTGCACATTGATATAAATTTCTATCTTTGAAGGTTCAAATTGAGATTTTTTATCTTTGCGAGTACACATTGATACAAATTTATATTTTTGAGAGTGCAAATTGAGATTCGAACAATCTTTTAGAGTGTAAAATGAGATTAACCCATTTTTGAAAAATGTTAAGACTGAGTATAGGATAGTTGCAAATTAAAAATTAAAGGATCTTTAATGTGAGATTAGTCCTTAATTTAATTGGAGTAATTAGTATTTAGAAAATACTATTTATACTTAATTTAATGACCTTATCTATAATATAAACACATGACGACTTCAACATCCAACGGTCTCAAAGCAATTCAAAAGTCTATAATCCAAAGGCTCACAATACATCTCACTCAAATTCAAAAGTCTCTCGTCCAAAAGCTCACAATACATCTCACTCAAAAATCATATCTTGCCCATTCCAACACACAACCCAAGGCAGAGAGCGCGTGCTCTCTCCTTCCCAAGTCAGGTGTCTCTCTCTTTCTCTCACGACTCTCTCTCTCTCTCATACACACAAACACACACAAGAAGCAAATCAAGCCTATAACATGTCTTCTTTTCCCTGCCGTCACCCAAGAACCCCCCTCTCTCTCTCTCTCTAGTAACACACCCACACACAGACATCACGAGCACACACACACACACACATACCACGCACAGTCACACGATTTATGAAATTTAGGTTTTCAAATTGGGAGTTTTTGGAGTATTTTTGAAATTTGGGTTTTTAAATTTGGTGTGAAATTTTGATGTTTATTTCATTGTTGAATTTGGGCATTTTTTACCCTAAAACGATTTCAGCCTCTCTGGTTTGTGCGTGTCGCCATCTATCTGAGGTCTGACGTCTTCCCAGTCCTCTCTCTCTCTCTATTTACGCTACATTGAAGTCGAAGTTCGAACGACGAACGAACACTTGAAGTCGAGGTAGGAGGGACTCATTCTGAGGCTAGACTCCAGACCTCCATCGTTGACGATTTCTTGAGGATTTCCTTCCCTCAAGCAGCAGCAGCAGCTGGTATATCCTTTCTTTCTCTCTTTCTCTCTCTCTCTCTCTCTCTGCCCTCTTGCAATCAAATCCACATGTAAATGAATCACATATCTTTATTGTTCCCTAATCCTCTACCACCAATCAAACTGATCTTCATTCTCATTTGCACCATTTATATGTATGTCCATATGTTATAATCTAGATTCATGAATATGCTGGTAATTGTAGTGGTGATGATGTTTAGAATGTAGATAATATGACAAAGACACTTATTGGGACAAAAAAAACCCTTAATTAGAAGGAATCTTATTTGGGTTTTCTGGAGCTTGGGTTATTATTTTTGTCACGCCCTATCCCGATCTCTCAAAGATGAGGCGCGACTAGGTTTTTAATACACATGTTTACAATTATTATAAGTTGGATTAATTAAATATGATATAATCCCACAGGTACAATAACACCACTCATCACTTTAGTTATTAAGCATAATGATAAAACCTGTCTTAT